AGATGTGTATAAGAGAAAGGCCCATGCCTCACTATCAGGTGACTGATAAGCCCATATCTCACTATCAGGTGACTGATAAGCCCATGCCTCACTATCAGGTGACTGATAAGCCCATGCCTCACTATCAGGTGACTGATAAGCCCATGCCTCACTATCAGGTGACTGATAAGCACACGCCCTAAACGATACCCTGGCACCCAACTCTACTGAAAGGGGCACTCCCGGTATCTCTCCTATTCACAATATACAGACTTTTGTTATTCCACCCGGAACCTCTCCATTTTTCCTCACTACCATCGCTGTTTCTTTTTACGTGTAATCCTTATCTAAGTGGCTGCCATATTGGTGTCTCTTTCTTCTTTTTTCATAAAAAAAATAAATGAATTATGTATTAATTTCTAAATAAATATAAATATTTGTTTAAATAAAAAATATATTACGTTCTGCTTAAATATATAATAAAATAAATATAGAAATACCACAAAAATAGACAAGCTCACATTGTTGCAGTTTCGTGAGAAAATCTGTTTTATTAAATAGTTTGAGAAGTAATATTTATTGAACTGGTAGTTTGTAGCAACTAACATATTTTTATTTGTTCAGATGGGCATGCAGTTCCCCATGGAGCTGGTGAAGGTGGCCTCAGAGACGACGCCTCCAGCGCTACTGACGGAGGCCGACCTCATCGCTCTCATGGAGAAGCATGGCATCGGTGAGGCAGGAGTGGGGAATGAAGCCCCGAACGGTGGAGAGGGGACGACAGTCCGTGCCCTCATACCTTTGGGGCTGTCGCTTCCAAGGGGTTGTTGTTCCCGTCTACGGGGCCCCGGATGCATGTAACAAAGGCTGTACAGTGAAGCCTGAACGGTGAAGCTTGCACTGTAAAGTTGGAAATTGTTGAATGTACTGTGAATTTTGCACTGTAAACCATGTATTGTACAGTTTGCACTGTCAATGCTGTACTGTGAAGTTTGCGATGTAAACGCTGTACTGTAAAATTTTCAGTGAAAAGGATAAACTGTAAAGTTGGATCTTAGATGAATGTACTGTAAAGTTGTCTCAATAAAGCCTGTACAGTAAATGCTGTAATTTAGAGTTCACAATTTAAATGATTTACTGTACACAGACACTGTAAATGCTGTACTGTACTGTAAGTGCTATACTGTACTGTACACTGGCACTGTAATTGCTGTACTGTATGCAGGCTCTGTAAACACTGTACTGTACTGTAAGTGCTGTACTGTGCTGTACGCAGGCTCTGTAAACGCTGTACTATAATTGCTGTACTGTACACAGGCACTGTAATGCTGTACTGTACTGTAAGTGCTATACTGTGCTGTACACAGGCTCTGTAAATGCTGTACTATAATTGCTGTACTGTACACAGGCACTGTAATGCTGTACTGTACTGTAAGTGCTATACTGTGCTGTACGCAGGCTCTGGAAATGCTGTACTTATGCAGGCACTGTAACCACTGCTGTACACAGGCACTGTAATCACTACTGTACGCAGGCACTGTAATCACTGCTGTACGCAGGCACTGTAATCACTACTGTACGCAGGCACTGTAACCACTNCGCCCCTGGCAGGTACTCATGTCACGCCCCTGGCAGGTACTCATGTCACGCCCCTGGCAGGTACTCATGTCACGCCCCTGGCAGGTACTCATGTCACGCCCCTGGCAGGTACTCATGTCACGCCCCTGGCAGGTACTCATGTCACGCCCCTGGCAGGTACTCATGTCACGCCCCTGGCAGGTACTCATGTCACGCCCCTGGCAGGTACTCATGTCACGCCCCTGGCAGGTACTCATGTCACGCCCCTGGCAGGTACTCATGTCACGCCCCTGGCAGGTACTCATGTCACGCCCCTGGCAGGTACTCATGTCACGCCCCTGGCAGGTACTCATGTCACGCCCCTGGCAGGTACTCATGTCACGCCCCTGGCAGGTACTCATGTCACGCCCCTGGCAGGTACTCATGTCACGCCCCTGGCAGGTACTCATGTCACGCCCCTGGCAGGTACTCATGTCACGCCCCTGGCAGGTACTCATGTCACGCCCCTGGCAGGTACTCATGTCACGCCCCTGGCAGGTACTCATGTCACGCCCCTGGCAGGTACTCATGTCACGCCCCTGGCAGGTACTCATGTCACGCCCCTGGCAGGTACTCATGTCACGCCCCTGGCAGGTACTCATGTCACGCCCCTGGCAGGTACTCATGTCACGCCCCTGGCAGGTACTCATGTCACGCCCCTGGCAGGTACTCATGTCACGCCCCTGGCAGGTACTCATGTCACGCCCCTGGCAGGTACTCATGTCACGCCCCTGGCAGGTACTCATGTCACGCCCCTGGCAGGTACTCATGTCACGCCCCTGGCAGGTACTCATGTCACGCCCCTGGCAGGTACTCATGTCACGCCCCTGGCAGGTACTCATGTCACGCCCCTGGCAGGTACTCATGTCACGCCCCTGGCAGGTACTCATGTCACGCCCCTGGCAGGTACTCATGTCACGCCCCTGGCAGGTACTCATGTCACGCCCCTGGCAGGTACTCATGTCACGCCCCTGGCAGGTACTCATGTCACGCCCCTGGCAGGTACTCATGTCACGCCCCTGGCAGGTACTCATGTCACGCCCCTGGCAGGTACTCATGTCACGCCCCTGGCAGGTACTCATGTCACGCCCCTGGCAGGTACTCATGTCACGCCCCTGGCAGGTACTCATGTCACGCCCCTGGCAGGTACTCATGTCACGCCCCTGGCAGGTACTCATGTCACGCCCCTGGCAGGTACTCATGTCACGCCCCTGGCAGGTACTCATGTCACGCCCCTGGCAGGTACTCATGTCACGCCCCTGGCAGGTACTCATGTCACGCCCCTGGCAGGTACTCATGTCACGCCCCTGGCAGGTACTCATGTCACGCCCCTGGCAGGTACTCATGTCACGCCCCTGGCAGGTACTCATGTCACGCCCCTGGCAGGTACTCATGTCACGCCCCTGGCAGGTACTCATGTCACGCCCCTGGCAGGTACTCATGTCACGCCTCTGGCAGGTACTCATGTCACGCCCCTGGCAGGTACTCATGACGCCCCACGGTACTCATGCCACGCCCCCGGCAGGTACCCACCACCACGAGGAGGGCGCCGTGGAGTTCTCGTGGTGTCGTGTGCGTGTGTTCAACGAGCGCGTGTGCGATGCTCTTCTCGACACCTGCACGACACCTCCCTCCCCTGCCACCGTCACCTCCGTCACCTCACGACCCAAGAGCAAGTGGCGCCCCTTGCCCCTCGACACTGTCGTGAGTGCCGTGCCTGCTGTCGTGAGTGCCGTGCATGCTGTCGTGAGTGTTCCTGGACACTGCCGTGAGTGCCGTGCCTGCTGTTGTTTGACTGACTCTTCCACTCAGATAAATGAGTGCGACTTTCTCCAAGTAGCTATGCACTTTTTTCTGCCCTCATGTGGGTTATCCAGATTCAATTTAAAGCGGCAAAAAGTTAAACGAGGTACCCGTGCCACGTGTAGTTGGTGTGTCAAGTAAATATGACCCATTTATATTAGTGAGTGTGCGTGCAGGAGTTCGAGAAGCTGGCGTCGCGCAAGCTGGGGATGTCGGCGAAGGCGGCGCTGC